AACGGAGGAAGGGACAATTAGACTGTCCTGATAAAGGCTCCCAGAGGCCCCGAGGCTCGGGCGGTCACCTCTCCATGGCTGTTTCCATGAGCGATTGCCAGTGAATTACCAAAAAAAAAAACCTGAAATGGCGCTGCGGTTCAAGTGGTAGAGCACCCACCTTGAGCACAAAAGCTCAGCACCCAGGCCCTGAGTTCAAATCCTAGACTAACAGACACACACACAGACACACACAGACTCATCATCCTACCTAGGTAATAATGCGACAGCGTGCTTACGAGGTTGTGTGCATGCGTGCATGCGTGCACATGTGTTCACTGAATGGATTTCCTTTGAACTTGGCTCTAGAGGGAGTTTTAACCCTTCGGGCAAAGCCTCCACCCCCGGATGAGTTCGTGGACTGTTTCCAGAAGTTTAAGCACGGCTTTAATCTTCTGGTAAGTGCACTGATCATCACTGACCGGAGAGACCAATGACTCAGATCGCAGGCCAGGGGGGTGGGTCTGGAAATTAAATCAGGATGTAGAATGATTGTTTCAGCACTGTGTGCATTTGTAAGCGTGCTTTCATTACACTAAGAAGACCAACGGTGAAGAAGCAAAACTAATGTGCATTTAAGAGATTTCGTCGAAAACCAGTGACTCCTGACTGTCATTGTCCATAAATTCCCATTTCCACCACGCTGCTGAATATACTAAACATAACAGGCCGGGCACGGTGGCTACCGCCTGACATCCCAGCTTCTTAGGAGGCTAGGATCCAGAGGATCGTGGTTCAAAGCCAGCCCGGGTGAGAAAGTCCATGAGACTCTGATCTCCCATGAACCACCAGAAAACGGGAAGTGGAGCTGTGGCTCACGTGGTAGAGCGCCAGCCTGGAGTGAAAGAGCTCAGGGACAGCGCCCAGGCCCTGAGTTCAAGTCCCAGGGCTGTGTCCAGCCAGCTTTGGCTCTAGCACCCTTTGGTAACCACGTGTCTTTTGTTCCCTCCCCGGCGCCAGGCCAAGCTGAAATTGCACATCCAGAACCCGAGCGCTGCGGACCTGGTCCATTTCCTCTTCACGCCCTTAAACATGGTGAGATTTGTATTCACAGAACAAAAATACTCGCTCCAAGCACAGTTCCCAGCACACCAGACCTGGCCACCCCATCCGATCACCTCCCTTCATTCTCCCGTCTGCGTCAATACTGACAACCCCAAATAGGAGAGTTGAAAAAGAACCTTGAAAGCCAGGCGTTCAGGAGCTCACGCCTATAATCCCAGCTACTCAGGAGGCTGAGATCTGAGGATCGAGGTTCAAAGCCAGCCTGGGCAGGAAAGTCCATGAGACTCAGATCTCCAAGGAACCACCAGAAAACCGGAAGTGGCGCTGTGGCTCAAGTGGTAGAGCTCCAGCCTTGAGCGAAAGAGCTCAGGGACAGCGCCCAGGCCATGAGTTCAAGCATCGTCACCTGCTAGACAGCCACTTGTGTCAGAAGCACTCGCTTGAATATCAGACAGAAATAACTACTTAAAAATAAACGGATCCCAGTGGCAGAGAGGCCCGAGTCTTCCTGTCCGTCTGTCCCCGTGGGTGGCCGCGCCACGCTTTGAAATGAGGGACTGCTTCCCCAGCTCAGGCAACAGGGTCGGCGTGAACGCCAGAAGCAGCTCACTTGCGAGATCAGGAGATCAGGGCCCAGCCGGATCAATAATTCACGTGTGTGCAGCGTCACGTTTCCGTGTATCCGGTTATTGGCCAATAACTCTGGTCAGGGAACCCTCCGGTCTGAAAATTCGATCTCAGGCTGGGGGTGGTGGCTCGTGATTGTAATCTCAGCCCCTGCGGGGGTGAAGGGTGGGGAGGGGGGATTTGAAATCAGGGTGATTGCAGCCGAGGACCGGCCAGGATCTCAATGATTAGGGGAGCCCCCCCCCCAGACCCCATCATCTCAATCAGTAAGCCAGGTTTGGTGACGCATTGCTGTAACCCAAGCCATGTGGGAAAGCAGCAAGGAAGAAGAGCACGCTCGTCAGGTTCAACCTGGGCCAAAAGCGTGTATGTAGACAAGTGTGTAAACACACGTGCACACACACGCAGTTCCTTTCTTCTCATGCCACACCTGTTACCAAGGCAAAACGTTGATTAAAGCGGCCGTGGTTTGTGTCCCGAGGAGCTCATTTTTAATTCTCCAGCCAGGAAAACGGCTCCTAGATTTTAGGCCAGTTTTTGTTTGTTTGCGAGAACTGATTTTCCAGAGCTGCATGTGTTTTTCTTTTTGGTCTGTTGGGGGTCTTGAACTCAGGGCCTGGGCGCTGTCCCTGAGCTCTCTCACTCAAGGCTAGTGCTCTACCACTTGAGCCACAGCGCCACTTCCGGTTTTCTGGTGGTTCCTTGGAGATCAGAGTCCCACGGACTTTCCTGCCCAGGCTGGCCTCGAACTGCGATCCTCAGATCTCAGCCTCCTGAGAGGCTGGAAGAGTGTTGGCTTGCGTTTTTAGTGCTCGCCGCCTTCCTGCCACCAACCCCGTGTGTCCTCCCATAGGTCGTCCAGGCCACCGGAGGCCCCAAGCTGGCCAGTTCCGTGCTCAGCCCCCTGCTGACCAAGGACACCGTGGACTTCCTCAACCGCACCGTGACCCCTGAGGAGCGGGACCTGTGGCTGTCGCTGGGGGAGACGTGGCTCAAAGCCAGGTGAGGGAGGGGCTCTGTGCCGACTGCCTGTAGTGCCGGCAGGCCTGGGTGGGTCGGGATCGGGGTCCAGAGGGACCCAGCGGGGTCGCTGACATCATGAAAGCCGGCGTCGTGGCTCCCGCCTGCCATCCCAGCCACCCAGGAGGCTGAGATCGGACGATCGCGGTTCAAAGCCAGCCTGGGCAGGGAGGTCTGTGAGACTCTGATTTCCCATGAATCACCAGAAAACCGGAAGTGGCGCTGTGGCTCAAGGGGTAGAGCACCCGCCTTGAGCACAGGCCCTGAGTTCAAGCCGCAGCACACACACACGCATGCACGCACGCATGCAAGCATGCACCTGGGTCAGAAATGCTTTCTTTCATATTATGCAAGTTAAAATCTTCGGCGTGTGGCCCCGCTCTGACGGGGCCCGCCGTTCTCTACTGAGGTCCGTGTACCTGCCTCTCAGCGAGGTTTCGTCTCCCGGGCTCCGTCCCACCCCGTGTTTCCCCTCGATGTGGACTTTTCTTTCTTCTTTCCTTCTTTTCTTTGACGCGGTCCTTCATTTTCTCATGGAGAATCCGAGCCAAAATCATTGCAGAGATGGCGCTATTTTTATGCTCTGATTTAATAAGCTTTCTGGAAGTACAGTTCACATTCCAAGCGGGCTTATCCGACGGCGGCATCGATCGAACAGATTCCAGAAAGCCAGAGAGCCGCTTTCTGCCCAGCCTTCCACACAAAAACGGCAGGGAAATCTGCACAGTAGGATAATAAATAAATACAAAAGTGCAAAGGGAAATGATCTATATACACACACACACATACAATTTTTGCTCAGTGGTGGGTCTTGAACTCAGGGCCTGGGCGCTGTCCCTCAGCTCTTCAGCTCAAGGCTGGTGCTCTACCACTTGAGCCACAGCACCACTTCCGGTTTTCTAGTGGTTCATAGGAGATGAGAGTCTCACGGACTTCCTTCCCTGGGCTGGCCTCGAACCACGATCCTCAGACCTCAGCCTCCCGAGTCGCTTACTTAGCACAGCGCGTAGGATGCCCCCGCACACGCTTGCAGCACGCAGACAGCCCGCGTGGGGGCCCGGCCTGGGCCGAGGCCTGTGCCAAGGCAGCAACACCGCCAGGCCGCACGGAGGAGCGTGAACGCGCGTGGACACGCGTGTGTTTCCCTCTCCGGGTCACACAGGAGGGCTGCGCTGGGTCGGCGTGCGGCGGTGTTGCTGGTGTGTGGTGGTGTGTCTGGGTGTGTCAGATGTGTTGGTGTGTCTGTTGTGTTGGTGTATTGGGGTACTAGTGGATTGGTGTGTTGTGTCGGTGTATTGGTATGTTGGTGTGTGTTGGTATGCTGGCGTGCCAGTGTGCATTTGGTGGTGTGGTGGTGTGGTATGTTGATGTGGTGTGTTAGTGTACTGGTGGATTGGTGTGTTGTGTTGGTGTGTCGATGTATCAGTACGTTGGTGTGTTGGTATGTTGGTATGCCAGTGTGTATTTGTTGGTGTGTTGGTATATTAATGTGGTGGGTTGGTGTATTGGTGTGTTGGGTACTGTGGGTCGGTGTGTCGTGTCGGTGTGTTGGGTACTGTGGATCGGTGAGTCCTGTCGCTGTGTCTGCGGGTCCGTGGGTCCCGCAGGCCTGGCTGACGTGTCCGTGTGGGTGTCGGTGTCCGCGTGGGTGTCCGCAGGGCGGAGTGGCCTCGGGAGCAGTTCATCCCCCCCTACGTGCCCCGCTTCCGGCTGGGCTGGGAGCCGCCGGCGCTGGACAGCCTGGGGCCCCCCCAGGGGTCCCCGCCGCCCGCCGAGCCCCGCGGCCAGCTCGACCCCCGGAGACCGCCGGCCACAGAGGTACAGCGATGACCCCTGCTTCTAGAGCAACCGAGGGGTGACCGTCTAGAGCCTGGGAAGACCCATGATCACTCCCCAGCTTCTAGAACAATCTAGAAGTGACATTCTAGAGCCTAGAAACAACCACAATCACTACCACCCCCAGCTTCTAGAATAATCTGAAGGTGACTTTGTGGAGTCCAGAAAGAAAGACCTGTGATTATCCCCTGGCTTCTAGAACAACCTAAAGATTTTCTGGAGTCCAACAAAACCTGTGCTCACCTCCCCCCCAGCTTCTAGAACAATCTAGTCAGTTTCTCTCAATTCTAGAAGGATCTAAGATTGGCCCTGTCCGGGCTCTAGACAAATCTAGATAGGCTTTTCTCGATGATAGCGAAATTTAGGCTCTCTCTTTCACCATTCCAGAAAAATCTAGCCCGTGGGGACTGAGCAGGAGGAGGCCTGAGGGTGGCAAACGTGGACCCACGAGGCCCCAGCGCGGGGAGGGAGAGCTGGGGGGCAGGGCGCCCGCGGGAGGGCAAGGCCCTGGGTTCAAACCCACCCCTCCCCTGAAAAACAACAAGGAAAAGCTTTGCTGATGCCCCTTTTCATCCTCCTGGGAAATAAAGCTGAACCGGGTCCATGAGGCGGGGGGGGGGTCCCTAACACGGGGGGCCCCCCGAATGACACCAGGGGACGCGTGTGTCTGCCGCAGCTCCGGGGCACACGGGGCCTGGGCGCTGTCCCCGAGCTCGCTCACTCAAGGCTGGCGCTCTACCCCTTGAGCCACGGCTCCAGTCCAGTCTTGGTGGCCGTTCGTTCATTGGCGAGCAGGGTCTCACGGGCTTTCCCGCCCGAGGCTGGCCTCAGACCGCGGTCCTCGGCCCTCAGCCTCCCGAGCCGCTGGGACCCCAGGCCTGGGCCCCGGGTGGAGGTGGGCGGCGTGAGCACTCACGGCACTGGTGTTGATTGTTGCACATCTGCCCCACAGCACCCCGGCCTCCTCGAGTACCCCCCGCCTGACGCGTATGCCTTCTGCAGCAGCGTGTACCCCAGGGGGCCGCAGCCAGACCAGGGGGAGGCCGCCGGGCCCTTCAAGCCCACCCCGAACCGCCACGCAGACAGGTAACGCACCATGGAAAGCGACGGGGCCTCGGGTGTGTGCTGCTGACTGCTGCCCGCACATCTTCACACGCGCTCTCCTGGGCCTGCACCAGTGGCTCATGCCTGTAGTCCCAGCTGCTCGGGAGGCTGAGCTCTGACGATCACGGTTCAAAGCCAGCCCAGGCAGGAAAGTCCCTGAGACTCTTAACTCCATGAACCACCAGAAAACAGGAAGGGGCGCTGTGGCTCAAGTGGTAGAGCGCCAGCCTTGAGTGAAAGAGCTCAGGGACGATGCCCAGGCCCTCAGTTCGAGTCCCACGACTGACAAAAAAAAAGATAAATGACAATATTAAAAGAATAAATAGTGACAATAAAATAACAAGTCATGGGGGCTGGGCAGGTGGCTCAGTGGTAGAGCGCTTGCCTTGCATGCCTGAGGCCCTGGGTTCGATTCCTCAGCACCACATAAGCAAAAAGAAAAAAGCCGGAGGTGGCGCTGTGGCTCAAGTGGTAGAGCGCTAGCCTTGAGCTGAAGAGCTGAGGGACAGCGCCCAGGCCCAGAGTTCAGGCCCCACGACTGACCAAAAAGACCCAAATGAGAAAATAACAAATCATACAGTAATAAACACTAAAACGTTAAGCAATAATAAATAACACCGAGTGACACTCGTGATAAGTAATAATACACAATAAAATGATAAGTGATAGATAATAAGACCTTAAGTGGCAATTAGTAATAGGATGTCAAGTCGTGAATAATAAAGTAACAATGAACAATTAGAACAGAACAGAACGTCCCCCCCTCACTCCTGGGGTGTGTGGGTGGGGGGGGGGTTCTTGGGCTCCCCGTCAGCGCCGGCGGCCGGGCCGGGCCAGGCCGGGGTGGGCCCAGCACTGTGCTCTGCTACAGCCACAGAAGTTACGACCCGCACCCGCCCCAGCCCAAGAAGTACGCCCGCTCCAAGTTCGACTTCACGGCCAGGAACAGCAGCGAGCTGTCGGTGCTGAAGGATGAGGTCCTGGAGGTGAGGCCCCCCGAGCCGTGCGTCCCCAGCTCCCCCGCATCGCATGCACGCCCCGCACATGCCCCACTCCCTCGGGCTCCATCCTTACAACCGAGGCTGGTGATGCATTCACCAGAGACCCATGGTGAGACCCAGGCCGGGCACGGGCGCTCACGCCTGCCGTCCCAGCCAGCCCAGGCCAGAAAGTCCCTGGGACTCCGCGGGCTGCTCACGCGCTCCCCCCCCCCCCGCAGGTGCTGGACGACCGCAGGCAGTGGTGGAGGGTGCGGGGCGCGCGCGGGGACGCGGGCTTCGTGCCCAACAACATCCTGGACCTGCTGCCGCCCGCCGGCCCCGCCGCCCCGCACACGCACACCATCCAGGTACGAGCCGCCTGATCCCCCCTCGACTCTATTCCTCGCACGCAGCGTTTCCGTCCGGCCAGGCCCAGTGCCGATGTGCACCCCTGTAGTCCCGGCTCACTTGTAGTCCCAAGCTCCCCCCGTGCAGAGCGCATGGCCCGGCCGCTCCCTCCTCGCCTCTCCCCCCGGGGAGGGTCTTTTAATTTCTGGGGTGCTGAGGGAGATCCACAGTCACCCCGGGAGAAGGTCAGGGCTGGGCCTGGCCGTCCCTGGGGGGGTGGGGGGCGGTCCTCCCCACCACACAGCGGGGCGCGCCCGGCGCCTCCCGCCTGTCATCCCGGCCCCTCACCAGGCTCAGATCCAGAGGATCACGGTTCAAAGCCAGCCCGGGCCAGAAAGTCCGTGAGACCCTCACCCCCCCATGAACCACCAGAGAAAAAGCCAGAAGCGGCGCTGTGGCTCAGGCGGCAGAGCGCCAGCCTAGAGCGGAAACGCTCAGGGACAGCGCCCAGGCCCCGAGTTCGAGACCCAGGACGCAGGCAGCCCGGTCCTGGGCGCGTGGCTGAGCCGCGCTTTCCACGGGGGCTCGGGGTCCGCCTCGAACCCGCGGCCCCGTTCCAATCCGTGCGTGGGGCAAAGCCAAGGATGTCGGGGTGGTCTCCACGCGGGTCGGGGGGGTCCCCCACCCCACCTGCTGCCGCCCGCCCACCCTCCCTGCCTCCGCCACCAGCTCTTGATGCCAAAGAAGGAATTTGAGCTGTTCAAGGTAGGACGGCTCCCGGCCTTTGGTGTGACGTGGTCTTGCGTGGTGTGAACGCCTTCTCCTCCTCCCAAATCCCAGCCTGCCGTGGGCCGCGTGACGCCCCCGCTGGCTTTCTGAGCGCCAGGAAGCCACAGACACTGCGACCCTCTCCTCGGTGGGCCACGGAGCACCAGCTTCAGCGTGCGCCTCGGCCGGGTGCCGGTGCGCACGCCTGCCATCCCGGCTGCTCAGGAGGCTGAGAGCTGGAGGATCGCGGTGCTAAGCCCGTGCACAGAGAGGGCGTCAGGCTTTCTGATCCTCTCCGAGCTCAACAATCGAACATGTTCTCCCGGCATCCTGGGAAAGAGTCCATGTCTGGGCCGTGTCCTGTCTCTTTCCTGTGCGGGTGATCCGTGGCTTGAGCCGCCGTAACCTGACTTCCCTGCACGAAAGCTTGTTTCTTCCCAAGACCGAGCAAACCAAAATGGCAGGCGGGAAAGCCATTTGTTGCTGTACAGGTTCTGGGTCTCGAACTCAGGGCCTGGGCGCTGTCCCTGAGCTCTTTCACTCCAGGCTGGTGCTCTACCACCTGAGCCACAGCGCCACTTCCGGTTTTCTGGTGGTTCGGCGGAGATCGGAGTCTCAGGGACTTTCCTGCCCAAGCGGGCCTCGAACCTCGATCCTCGGATCTCAGCCTCCCGAGTGGCCGGGGTGACAGGCGGGTGCCGCCGCGCCCAGCCTGCCCTCTTGTTTCTGTTTTTGGTTTTTTACACAGAAGCTCGCCTTGCGTTTTTGTGAGCTTGGGCCCGGCCAGGACACGCGTCCCTCCGCGTGTCCCACGCCGCAGGCCGCGCGCCGCAGGGGGGTCTTGGCGGCCGTGGGTCCCTCGCAGCTCGTCACGGCTGGTGAAGTTTTCTCAGGGCCTCAGGCTCCCCTGAGACGCTGCCTGCTGTGGCGTGTGCGCATGCGTGCGTGTGTGTGTGCGTGTGCATGCGTGTGTGTGTGCGTGTGCATGTGTGTGCGTGTGTGTGCGTGCATGTGTTGCTTTGTTTACCCGCGAGGCCCTGGTTGTGAAAGTTATTACAGAGTCTCGAAATGGCTTCCAACCCCACGAGGTTTCGCAGTGTTTCGGGACGCACGCTCGCCTCCTTCCCTTCTTTCCTTTTTCTGTTTTTGTGTCAGTCGTGGGGCTTGAACTCAGGGCCTGGGCGCTGTCCCTGAGCTCTTTTTTCTCAAGGCTGGGGCTCTACCACTTGAGCCACGGCGCCACCTCTGGTTTTCTGGTGGTTCATCGGAGATCAGAGTCTCATGGACTTTCCTGCCCTGAGCTGGCTTTGAACCACGATCCTCAGATCTCAGCCTCCTGAGTGGCTGGGATTGCAGGCGAGAGCCACAGCGCCTGGCTCGTTTGTTTATCATCAGGTCTAGGCACTGGCAGATGCTCTTACTCTACCAACGCGCAGCCCGGGGTTCCCAGCTCCTCTCTGTCTCTGTGTCTGTCTGTCTCTGTCTCTCTGTCTGTCTCTGTCTCAGTCTCTTGCTGTCTGTCTGTCTGTCTCTGTCTCTGTGTGTGTGTCTCAGTCTCTTGCTGTCTGTCTGTCTGTCTGAGTCTCTCGCTGTCTGTCTGTCTTCCTCCTGGCTGTGGGGGGATTCAGGGAGCTCTCGTGGTGCTCGCTGTAACACTGGCCAGTGTGGCTTGGGGTCACCCCCCGCAGCGCACAGCCGGGCAGCCACGTGTGGACACGCGTGTGCTTGGATCTGTGCACTCGCGTGTGCAGCGGCCGCCCGACCAGGTGTCTGGGCGGGACGGTGGCGTCTCCCTGCCTCTGCTGCCGCCAGCCCGCCTAGCCGCCTTGCGGACGGACGACGGACCCGCGCTTGGGCGGCCGTGGGCCTCGCCTCACGCCTCCCGCGGCCTTGGGCTTTGCTCATCTCTGTCCTCCCCCCCCCCCAGCGCCTGCTCGGGGAGCTCGCCCAGGTAACCCCGCACCCAGTTCTGGGCCCGATGTTGGTTTTGTTTTATTTTTGGCTCCGCGCCCAGCCCTGCCTGCCATCTGGGGGTTGTTTTCGGGTGGTTTGGGGGTTGTTGGGGTGTTTGGGGTTGTTTGGAGGGTGGGTTGGGGGTGGTTTGGGGGTGGTTGAGGGTTGGTTTGGGATGGTTGGGGGGTGGTTGGGGGTGGTTTGGGGTTTTGTGGTGGTTGGGGTGGTTTGGGGGTGGTTTGGGGTTGGTTTAGGGTCGTTTGGAGTGGTTTGGGGGTGGTTGAGGGGTGGTTGAGGGCTGGTTTAGGGTTGTTTGGGGTGGTTTGGGGGTGGTTGTTGGGGTGGTTTGGGGTTGGTTTGGGGGTGGTTTGGGGTTGGTTTAGGGTTGTTTGGGGTGGTTTGGGGGTGGTTGAGGGTTGGTTAGGTGGTTGGGGTGGTTTGGGGTTTTGGGGTGGTTGGGGTTGGTTTTGTCTTTCACTGCAGAGGGGTGGGTGACTCAGGAGACCCGGGGTCATTGGGAGCAGGGGGCGGAGGGCTGGCTCAGTTTCCCCCGCGTCTGGAGTCAGGGCTGGCCTGGAGGGCTCCCCCGCCCGCCCGGGAAAGTGACTCATCCCGCCGATGGCCAGGGAGGAGGGAGGGAGGAAGGAGGAGGAGGGAGGGATAGGTCTGTAGAGAGGGA